TCACTGACCATCGTTGCCTCCATTGCTGTAGGTGCTTCAAGGTCCTCTTCAAAGAGGTCGTCGTCCTGGTTGGCTTCGGCACATTGGGCACAATAGGCGTAGAAGTTGTCATATCCTGGTGCCAAATCGAAGGTAAAAACATTTGTTTTTGGGTCAACTGCAATGGTTTTTCGATACTGACACTTGTCTCCCCATTGCAGTGTACAGAGCTTGCCTTCTGTTGTTTCAATGAACTGTCCAAGGCCTTGTTGCTTGAGAACTTGGGAGATATGCTGCGGGCTCAGCAATCTCATCTTGTCTGAAGGTACGTAGAATGAATTTGGGATTCGGAATGTGTGTTCCTTTCTGTCATCATCTAACCATTTCCAAACCAGTGTTCCAGCCATGACATCAATGGTCTTTCGATTTCCAAAACCCTTGATGACGTGCTGTGTTTTTCGCAGGTCTTCGAAGTGGTATTCCTTGTCGGAGATGCAGAAGGAGCAGCGGTTGTTGATGCCAATTGGCAGTGAATCGGTGTCGAAGCGAGCTGGATGGTGCGTCCCTCCCTCTGACTGAGTGCGGTGTGCCAATACTGAGTTGGCAATGAGCGTTCGTTGGATATCTCGTGGGATTCGAGAGCGTTGGATGCGAGACATCCACTTGTAAGACATCCACTGATAGCTAGACTTGCGAGTCCGGAGCTGCCGGTAGAGCTTAATTCGGGTACGTAAGTTTTTGGAGGTACGTTCCCTAACCTCTTTATTCCATTTTCTTCCTGTGAGTCCAAGCTGCTTGGCTAGTTGGACCCACCTGTATCTGACCCACTTTGTCATCCATGCATACCGTGTCCACCTTTGAGATTTGGGAACATAGTATGGCACAGAGTCATCACGGGGCCATCCAAAAAGAACAACACGAAGTGTTACAGCTGTTGCAAGGAGGTAGAGCGGGAGGCGTTTCCACCAACCAGCGATCCACTGAGACAGCAGACCCCACCAAAGCCACGGCCAAACAACAATCCACCCTTGAGTGCTCTCAAGGAGCTCTCATTCTTCATCGGTATCGGAGTCGGATGGGGCGTAATTCTCAGCCATGGCGGCTCTGAGCTTGATCTTGTTCTTTTTGTTGTCTTTGTTTTGGTCTTGGTTGCATTGATCCGGAGTGTGGCGGCAGTATTTCTTGAGAGCTTCGCACCAATACCATGGCTTGGAGTCACCGTCAACATACTTTGCCTTAAGTTTGTCTTCTGCCTTTGGTGCAGTGGTCTTCCATGCAGGTACGTTCGAAGATTTTTGCCTATTGTTGTTCTTGCCCTTGCCTCTATTCTTACCACCTCCGGACTTCTTGTCATTGTCCTTCTTCTTTCCGCTTTCAGGCTTCTTGGAGTTTTTGATTTGCTTGAACTCGGCCTTCAGCGAGAGGATAGCTTGTTGATTTTCATCAGGGCGATTCCAGGTTTGGTCCCAAACACGATTCTTGTAATAGTTTTCAGCGTCCTGCATGAGCCTGGGTTCGTTTGTTGGCTCGGAGTTATCCTCATGTTTTTCTTCTTTTCTTTCAATGTATGACACGAATGACTTATCAGATGCTGCCTTGTACCCTTCAAACAGGTGGATCAGTACATCCTTGGACTCCTCCCCATAGTGGGCAAGGTTCTCAAGTTGCTCGGAAACGTGAAGATTGAACTTTTCAACGTTTGATCCAACCTTGGTCATATACTCGGGAAGTTTTGCAAGTTGACGTCGGATGTGATTCACATTGGAGTTGCTAGCGGGAGTTGTCCTCAGAAGGACCACCTTCAGATACGCCAATCCGCCTCTCATTCCATTGATGGTGAAGAGATTTTTGTCCCGTAAGACTTTAGCTTGGGCAGATTCCGTGAGTGACTTGTAGATGCAGAGCTGCAGGTGGAGAGAGCTTTGCTTGCTGCGACTGTCAGCTTGAACAGGTAGGCTTGCTCATGGCATCGAACATCGTCAATAGAGATCTGTCCATGGAGTTGCAGGAAGTCGTCAGTGGCGTTGTTTCTTGCGGAGTTTTGAACCTGGAAGATGATGGTCCATCCCGCCTCAAGGGATCTAGTTTGGATTCTCTCGATAAAATTTAGTAGTCTTGCTGGTTGCAAATCAAACTTGTCTTCACCACTAGAGTAAAGCGAATTGACTGCCTTTGAGTACTGTTTGATGCCGTAGGAAGTTCCAATGTCGATAGGAGTAGTTCCTGAAGTCGATGGAAAAGCTCCATACTGAGGAGTATGTATAGTCGGATTGGTCGCACTCGGATTGGTCGCATTTGCGATGAGCTGACCTAGTAGATGCATTCCTTGCGGATGAGCCAGTAGCTGCCCTAGTAGATTTGCAGCATTGTTGGTTCCGCCTTGCGGTTGACCTTGTTGCTGACCTTGTTGTTGACCTTGTTGATTGAATGGGTTTGCCGCGATGGCTGCTGCTGCGATCAGGTTGTTTAGGAGATCGGGAACCGGAGGGTTGGCCTGTTGTCCGCCTTGTTGATTGGCTTGCGCGGCTTCATCAGCATTGCCTGCTGGCGCAGGTTGTTGGTTTTCCTCCACAACTTCTGGGTCTGGGTCGTCGCCTCCCTGAGGAGGATTGTCAGCCATGTTCTGAACTTGGTTGTTTCTTCGACGGCGACGGGGGATGTACGGATCTTGATTCAGTGGGCCGTTTCGAGTACTTTGTACCATGCAATGGGCCCTTTAGACTCGCAGAGGGAGCATGTTAAAATCCTGAGACGGCTCCACAGGAGCAAGGCCTCGCGATTGGGCTTTGAGTCAATAAAGGTAGTTTATACGAAGTTGGTTGATAAATAATCGAATTAATAAATTGTGAGGTTATCACTACTTGATAATACTTGGAAAGAGTTGCTGCATCGAATTTCTAAGAAAGCTAGTGAAATTTGAAGAGAGCTAGAGCATTGATCTCCAGTCGTGACTGGAGTCCCAGCTAGCGGAGTAGTGAAGGCGTCTGTGCGTCAGTACGTCTACTGAGAGCTCAATATTCCAACAAGGTGCCTCATTCGGATCATATGCATGACACTGGTACAACTTTTGCCAGTGTCGGTGGATGTCTTGTGTTCTTGGTAGCCTTTTGTCAAAGACATCAAGAACATGAAGTTGATGACGGCAAGGCATGAGGTTTCTCCTTGGGAATCCACAGGAACATCTTAGTCTCCCATCTTCTAGAATTGACAATGTCCTCACTCTTTTGAAACGTGGGATGAAGAGTTCCATCATTACATCCTTGGAACTCATTTCATCGCCAGTACTTGATTCACCGTCCCCTTCAATATCCTCTTGCAGACGTGTCTTAGGGTATGTGGAACTAGACGATGAATCTTCATAATCCATCCTCCATACGTAAAATACTCCTTTCTCAGCCTCCCAAATAGATTTGTATCTGGTCCTCTCACAAAATTGAGAGAAGAATACCTTTCCACCATACCCTGTAAGGGGCTGAGTGACATGAGCCACCAAACCCGCCCATGGTTGCTTCCTACTGTCTTGAACCTGCTGCTTAAACTTTTTAACTCAATCTTCAGCTTTCTGTTCAATAATCATGAACATGCTTAGCATTGTCCTTTCTGCAAGAGAGAAATATAAAATATTTGAGTGACAAATTTGGGTGGAATAACAATGTATATATATAGCTTACTTTTGCTTAGAGCGTCTTTCCTCTTTAAGGATGAAAAATTAGCCTCTTGGGTAGAGTTGGTACACTCTTCCATTGCTGGTTGGAAAATTCGTTTGTAGAATGCCATGTGCTCAATGTTTGCAGCCACCTTGTTTGCCCACTTAGAAAGTGAGGGCACTTGCAGCAGGTCAATCCATCATGATTCGGCCATCGCGATTGTTGAACTTTGGAGGATGAGGAGGAAGTGGGTAGGAGTCCCCTTCCATGAGATCCGGATTTTCATCATAGAATCGACCAATAAAAAGAAGATTTGGGATGGTTCCAAGAGCTGGAGTGTGGGTTCTTTGAACCAAGATGAGGAGCTTCCCATATTTGGAGATACAATGAATCGTCATCGATTCGCGAGCAGTGACTCCGATAGTCGCATTTGCATTGGTGGGATCTGGAGCTCTTCGCATAGATTTGATGTCTTCACGAACTTGAGAAGTTGTTCTGTTGGCGAAGGAGTCAACAGAGTCAAGACCTTCAACGTCAG